AACTCATTGAGGACAGGGAGTCCAGAAGGGATATGCCAACACGGTGGCATTTGAGTTGCACTATGAAGAATAAATGAGACTTTAAGGAAGAGCATTCTAGAAACAAGAGAAAAAAAATTATACAGAAAAAGAGTTCAACACTCATACTTTCAGGAAGTGTATAATCTACCTAAAGAAACTTGATTAAATTCTTAATTATACAAAAGAACCCAGCAGTACAGATCACTTGGGCTACAGCAGTGAGGGGGAGCGGAATACAGTACCCCCCAAAAGTGTCACTTTGGCACGTGGACTGTTTTGAGCTGAAGGCAGTTAAGACTGGGCAGACTCAGGAAAAGCTTTTTTTTGTTTGTTTTATCCCCCTTAACTGCCTGAAAGAATTTAGACAGGGGGCCTATACTAGGAAGAGAGCTATTACCAGAGAACTTTTTATCTCTGCATGGCATGGCAAACATTTGCTCTTCCCCTCTTCCTATGAATTATCTTCCTCCCCTTTGAAGTCCCAGACCTCTACCCCCTCTCTCCTTAGCTCAGGATGGCAATATAAGCCTCAATTACCTGACTGTCAGGGAGTCTAATATTTTTATGAGGCTCCTATACATACAAAATTTGTTTTGCTCCTGTTCATGCGTCTTACGTCAATTTAATTATTAGACCAGCCCAAGAACCTAAAAGAAAAGAAGGGAAAAGTTTTCCATCTTACAGTAGTCAGAGAAGCTTCAATAACAGTGTGGGACTAAAGCTAGGTCTTCAAAAATGAACAAGAGTTAAGGAAGAAAATGATCACAACAGCATAGGAAAAAAACAACAACAAAGAAAACAAAACAAAAAACATTTCAAGGGGGAGTAGTGATCTAAATGATATAGTTTCACTTTTGCAAGATGAAGAGTTCTGGAGGTTGGTTACACAGCAATGTGAATGTGCTTAATGCTGATAAAGTGTACACTTAAAAATGGTTAAGATGGTAAATTTTGTTACGTGTATATTTTACCACAAATTAAAAAAAAATTTTTTTTTTCATTTTTAAAAGCTGGTTTGTGACTCCAGGGAACACTGAAAAGGGCACAACCTGCTTCTATGGTATTCCTGCCGAAAGTGAATCTAATCATGAGGAAATATCAGACAAATCCAACAGAAGATTCTCTAGCAGGAAACAGACCTCCTTTGGCTCCAAGTTTCTCTGCCCTCAGGGATACGAGGAAGCCATCTTAAAAGGAGATAGTACTAGATATTCCCTTATTCATTAACAAAATTTTAAGAGTTACCTACTGCTTGCTAAATCCTTCCTAGATTTTAAGATACAGCATGAACAAGCAGAAAAGATTTTTCACTCTCATGGGAGTTGACCTTCTAGTGGAGAAGATCGATAGTAAACAAGTAGCCAATTCAATATATTATTTCAGACGGTGTTATGAAAAAAACAAACAGAGTAACTGAAGTGTTTGGAGATATCCAGGAAGACCTCTCCAAAAAGGTAAAACGTGCTCTCCATATGTGCAGAGGTCCCAGAGGAGAACATGCTAGGGTGGATGGAGCACACTGAACGATACAGAGAGTTGTAAAAGTCTCCTGGCAGGGGCCAGATCAAGTTGAGCCTTGTAGTTTGAATTTTATTTTAGTCAATGGAAGGCCACTTGAAGATTTTAAGCAGCAGAGTGATATGATCTGTTTTATGTTCACTTGGCTGCTATGCTGAATAGATGTAGGGAAAAAGAATGCAAATAGAAAGACCAATGGGGAGTACTGCAGTCCAGCAAAATAGGATAAATGTTTTAGGCTAAACACATAGGCACAAAAACACTTTCCATATACATTCAGGAGGAAGAACCAAAGGACCTGCAGAAAAACTGAACAAGACTCTGAGGAAAAGTCAAGGTTGAAGATACTAATTTGTAAGTCACAAGCATTTATGTTTACTCCCCAGCTCTCTCCTAAAATGTCCAGGACATTTCAAGGGCTTGCTGGAATGTTGACCTGAATGCCCTATTGGAATCTCCAACTCAAATGGTCTCAATCAGAATTCATCACCTTCCGACATAAAGAAGTACCTCTTCCTTATTTAGAAGGAATTTCTATTATTGGTACCACTATTCACCCAAACTTAACATACTCTAGACTTTCTCCTCTCCCTTTCCCTCCCAAACTTAACACACTCTAGACTTTGTCCTCTTCCTTTCCCTCAACTTCACCCTGAAGTATGCAAATCTAATCTTTGAAATACCTCTTGCATTCACTTCCTCTTTTCCATCCCACGCCACAGTCTCCAATTCACCCTATACCCTGTTGCCAAATGATTTTCCATTGAATTGGGTACAAATTCCTCAATCTGGCATATGAAGCCCTCCTAATGCAGCTCAAACAGCGTTTCTGGTCTTTCAGCATGCTTTCTAACATATGGCCTACTAATGAGCCAAACTGACCTGTTGTACCCCTAACATACCTCATACTGTCTCACCTCTGTGCCCTTCCTCCTGTTTCCTGTGAAATGTACATTCTCTATGCTCTTCACCCATCAAAAGCCTACTCATTCTTCAAAGCCCAAGTTAAATGCCACCTCGTTCATTAAACTGATCTTGCCTTCCTCTATATGTGATCTCTTCTACTTCTAAACTCCCAGAAAGGCTGATTGTAATTTTCTTATGGTTCTTACCACATAAGACCTTGCGTCTGAGCATTATGGACATCTGTCTTATCTCACATACCAGTATCCTGTATGTTCTTGGCACACAGAAACAATGAGTCATCTTTCCATTTCAAACAGAAACTGCCACAGGATCCTGCACTCAGTAAACACCCCATAAATATGTGTAAACTTTCACAAACTTCTAACAAAACCAACTCCTACTTTAATTAAGGTCACAAAGCACTTAAAATCTGCTTTGGGTTTGTAGTATATTGATATTTAAGCAGGCAATGTGAGCATATGAGCCTATAAAACAAACCTCCAACTTTAAGAAAGGAAGAGTCTACTGACTAAGGGAGCATAGTAGAAACTGAAAAAATGTAAACCAAACTCACTTCCTTTTCCTGGGCAAGTCTTAAAATTTCATCCAGTGTTACAAATGTATCATTTCCTCTGACTGCATCTTTCTCCATAAATCCCAGATGAATATCTGTTGCAACTAAGATTTTAAATGTATTTTCATCATCACTATATAAAAAAAGAAGAAACATTTCAATATAATTCATTAAAAGATGAATCAAGAAGATTAAAACCTAAATTTAGAAGATATATAATAGTTATACAGTAAAATCACTTTTCTAGCTTTTAAAATAAGTCTGAAAATTTGAAGCATTCAACAGATCTTCAATGTTACATAGTTTGCCTACACCTAATTCAAAATAGAACAAACACTCGTGAACTTTAAAAAGATTCTGTGACTCCTTTCAAAAAAGTATAACCTTATTACAACTCCAGTGTTACACACTCCTTTGGACCCTGGACCTAAAAGCTTCGTTGTTTTCAAATTTTGTTCCATCCCGAAATCCCAAAAGGATTTGACCCCGTATCTAAACTTGCTATTTATCTATTTTGCACTCTTCAAGGAAAATCAGAGTTGACTGTTAATTTAAAAAGCCTTCTTACTTTATAAGTAGATTTTGTCCCAATAAACTAGTAACTCACATTCAAGCCCCTGAAGACACCTGCTTGATTCTATTCCCTACATACAGTTAGTGTTTCATTAACAAATCTGGCCAAGTAACAAAACAGATTTACAGTTCCATCTGAATTTGGTAGTATCCAAAGGTACTCTCATGTGAAGCAGCAATGTAGTAGTTATTAATACCTTCTTCAGTTTAATGTAACTTTTAACTTTCTTTAAAATACTTGGGGCAGCTGGGTAGCTCAGTTGGTTAAGTGCCTGCCTTTGGCTCAGGTCAGGAATGTATTTCGGGGATCCCTGCTCAGTGAGAAGCCTGCTTCTCCCTCTCCCTCTGCCCCTCCCTCCCACTCAAGCTCTCTTTCTCAAATAAGTAAATAAAATCTTTAAAAAAAATTAAAAAAACCTTTCTTTAAAATACTTATGTATCTATGAACTCTTCTCAACTTCTACATGTAAAGAAGTAGGTATTATTATCTTTGAAAAGTGAGAAAACTAAACAGAGAAATTAAGTAATTTATCGCACAAATAAGTGGAAGAAACAGGATTTAACCACTCGGTCTATTTTCACTAAACCATAATGAACTCAAAACAACTTTCAGATATATCTCCAAAATTGAAATCTTTATATATGAGATTTTTCCAGGAAAGATTTCTCTTCAGAAACTTCAAAGATGAAATATATGCACAAGTTCTAACTGCTACACACACACCGGCTGATCAGAATACTTTCAAAATCACATTACCCTATGCTTCCACAGCAATTTATAAAATATTTTCAAATGAATTCCCTCATTTAAACATCTAAATTAATCTGAGAAAGGCAATTTTGTTCCAATTATATACATAAAGTGAAGAAATTGATGCAAGGTTCAGAGAACTGCTAACTTGCCCAAGGTCACACAGTATTAACCAAGGAATTGAAATCGGGGTGCAACACTCCAAGTCTAAAGCTTTTTCCACATAACTTCTGATTCTTTTATTGATTTTCATTTTACTCAAATTCATTTCCAATTTATTCAACACTAGAGCAATTTACTACTCTAAAAATCTGCTTAAACAGGCTTGCATTGACCAGTGTGACTTCCCAACAAAAGTTCAAGAATATTGAGAGCTTCAATATTTTAGGACAAAGCCTAAGAATATAAACTTATATACTACAGTAATATACCAAATTACTGCAAGGCCTCAATCTATAGCTATATATTATCTTTTAGTTAGCAAACATATATTAATTTTTTAACATTCTAAATACTCTTTTTGATGACTAACATTTCTGTTCATAGGCAAGCTATTTACTGCTAATTTTTTAAATAAGTTTTCGTTCATGGTGATCATAGTTGATGGGCTTTAGGAATCCAAAGCAACAAAAAAGATCCCAGAAGACAAATTCTTACAGGGCATCCGCAGGACTCATTTTTATGGTCAGTCCAGCTCCTCTGGAACCAGTTTTCTCTCCAAGTACTCCTGGGTCGTGTGATCAAATACGTCAGAAAACTCACTCGATTCCAAATTCTAGCAAATTCTAAAAGCAAAATTACATTATTGTAAAACATACATTCTTTTAAAAAACTACCAATTTTAGGAACCTCATTTTCATCTACGCACCTACTATATTTTTATTTTTTAAGGGCTAACAATAGAAAATAGCCCATCTCCAGTACCATCTCAGTTTCACCATTATGATTAAACTATTGGAAACTAATGTTTATTAGATAAATGGACAGAAAGAGACACATACAGCAGTTCTGGTTTAGCACACAAAACAACTCTGGATGTGCAGAAATGTTTTAAACAGCATGCACAGGCTACCCTGGAGCGTCGAGAAAATCCCATAATTGCTGCTCAACCACAGGATTGTTTAAAGGAATGGTTCAGTTTAGGAAAAGAGAAGGGCCCCACCTTTAAAACTAGTGTAAATAAACAGAAACACGTGCTCCGCAGAGAAGCGCCCTGCGCCCGCAAGGCAAGTGGAAATGGCCAAGATATTCCGGGAACCCAGTTCCACGTCCGGACTCCCGGTTCCTTCCAGATTCTAAGCCTCAACACACCACCCCCACCCGCAACTGGACAGTCTGAAGCCAGAATCAGAACCCTCTAGGGCTTAGCCGACCGGTCCCATTCTTTCCAGAGAGTCAATCCACTTAGGGCTTCCGCCCGGGATCCCACAAAATAGGAGGCGGTACGATTCCTAAATTACCCCACATCTACACTCTCCAAAGCCCCCGCACCAGACCCCCAGGCTATCGTTTACCCGGGAAGAAGGAGCGGGATTCGTGAGAAAAAACGCAACAGCACCTCGAGAGCCTGCACGTAAGAAGAACCTGCCGGGCCATAAACCTCAATTAGGCGGGAGAGGGAAAAAAAAAAAAAAAAAAGCAACTCATTCTCTCGCGATACCTCATTGATGACGTAGCGCTTCAAGTCTTCTTCGGCTCTCATCGGCTGCCGAATGCCGTGAGCGAGCCGGGAAAGTAGCGGCGTCGCCCCGCCCTCAAGCAGGAGCCAATCCTGAGAAGCCGAGGGACGACCCCGGAAGCGAGGTCCGCGATAGAGATGTTTCCCTTCTTTAAGGTGGGTAGCTCTTGCTTGTCCCGGACCGCGCTCCTTGATCCTCTCGCGCCACCTAAAAACTACTGGGCCCTTGGGGGCGGGTCACTTGTCGACCCCGAATGAGCCCGGCAGTTCGGGCCGCGTCGTGGATCCGGGGTAGGGCTGGAGCGGCTTCTCCACTCTTGGCTGTTTGGAAGGCCGCAGGCGCGACTGCGGGCCTGGGAAGTGACCAATCGGTGCCAGAGGGCCGGGACTGGGGGCCTTCTCCCTCACTCCCACTCCCCAGAATTAGAGTATTCTGACCCTTTTTTTCCCTGCTTCCCCTTATTTTCACCCCTGGATCCCGGGTTCAGCACATCTGTATTGCTTTGTGCTGATAGCAGTAAAATATAATACAGTAAAAAAATAATGTGAAACTTTTGAATTAGAAAACTTGACCTTTTAGTTCCATTGAAGCGTCCCTAATCTAGGGCAGGTTGTTTTATTCCGAAGTTCGGCGCCTTCACCGGTAAAATGGGGTTTATGACCGCATCTGTCACTGAGTTATTTGTGAGGCGTTGACATAGTTTAGATCTCTGTCGAAATCTGTTCTTTTAAACATACCCTATTTCTTCTTGGTTGAGGACCATCGAGTAAGAATCTTAATCGATTTTTTAAAATCCTGAATCGGAGATGCACCTAGGTTTGACTCTTTAAATTAAATCATCTAAAATTAGAAAAGAAATTTTATATGTACAGTTATTGTATCTGGAGCACTAAGTTCAGAATTTATTTTAAAAAGTGGGGGGAGTTTTTATAGAAAGGAAAGGGGAGGATCAAATATGTGCCTTATTGTTTCTGTATTTGATATAATTAAATGAACTTTATGGTATCTGTTCAAAGTGTTTAATGAACTGATGTATGATCATTTTTGTGTTGCAAGGTTCAGGAAATAGATAGTAAAGAAAAAAATGAGAACCCCAATGGGAGTTCCTACATACAGATCACAAATACAGAGAACAAACTGGTGGTTACCAGAGGGGAGAGGGGTGAGGAGATAGACAAAATAGGTGAAAGGTTTGAGGAGGTACAAACTTCCATTTATAAAATAAATAAGTCACAGAGATGAAAAGCACAGCATAGAGAATATAGTCAACAATACAGTAAGTATAGTCAGTAATACAGTATACTGTGGTGAGCATTGTGTAATGTATAGAATTGTCGAATCACTGTGTTTGTACACCTGAAACTAACACTGTATATCAACAATTCTTCAATAATAAAAAGTGAAAATTCCAAAAGAACTAATAAAAGATAAAGTGATTCTGATGGGTCTCAGTAGACTCTGAAAAGCTGGGAAGAACTTGGAAATCCTTTAGTACAGTCATTACATTTTATAATGAAGTAACAGGCCCAGAGACGCTATTAGTCATAAGTGATAAATTTAAACCTAAGGTTAGTACTTTTGGCACTAGTAATAAAATCTAATGCCACATTAGGATTGAATACTGTTAAACTTGTGAAATTAGAAAGAAATTAGTATCTTAAGGGAAGACCAACTCTGGAACTTCTCAGTAGCCATTCCAAACAAAATCAAGTGATAGGGCTTTAATTAGATTTAATTCTACAAATATTAATGCCCTTTGTATAAGTAGGACATAAATATAAGTTAAATACAGTCTCTATCCTTAAGCTTATAATCTAAGGAAATAATTAGTGCTGAAATAAGACAATAGGTAGAACAAAAAAGGCTACCAGAGAGAAATCAAATTTGGAAGTTCCAAGAAAGAATGGAAGAGAGAACATCTGAGAAGAGCCTTGAAAGACTGGTAGGATTTCAACAAATGTAATCAGGAGCCTGAGAAATGGTATTTTTAAAAGATATTTATTAGTTATTTGCATTTTTAAAAATTGATTAAGATTTAATAAGCTGTGTAACTCTTTAATACTGGTTTATAAATTAATGTGGCAGCTTAGCTGAATTAATGTCACTTCCTTCAAGAAGCCTTCTCTAATCCTTTAGGACTGTGTTCATTATAACCCTCTTGTATACTCATTGTGTCTGAACAGAGTCCTGTCCTTGCACAGCTCATGCTGTTGTTGCCAGTCGCCTCGACTAGACAATAACCTTCCTGAGGTTAAGACATGGACCTTGTTCATTATTAAATCCCAGTGCCCAAAGACTGGCACGGACCAGGCATTCTATTCATATTTGTTGAATGGTGAATGACAGCTGAAATTCAGTTCAAAACAAGAAGCCAACTAAGAACTATAGCTGTCTATCAATGAATGGGACTCCTTTTTAAAGCAGTGAATTTTCTCAAGCTGAAATTATTAAAGTAGAAATAGGATAATTATTACAGATGTTATAATAAAGATACTTGGATTGATGAGAGGTTTGTACAGATTCCTTGGGGCTATTCCGTCTCTAAGAATTCTTTGAAGTAATTTATTAGAAACTAAAAGTTTTTGTTTCTGCTTTACATCATCTGTGTGTCTAGTTTATAAAAATCGTGAATGTGCCTGTTTTTTAAATTATGGTTTAAAAGCTTTAAGCATTTATCACTCTTAGTATAATACAATAGTATCGAAACCAATAGATTCAGAATAATATAACCATTGACTTAGTAGAATTAAAAAAAAATAAGGAGTTTTAACCATTAAAGGTATAGATAACAAATTTCAGCTCTGGTATTTAGAGACTGTAAAGACTACCAATAAAACCAAAAAGTTTAGACAGGGTTTATTGTGTATGTTTGCAAGACTTTGTAATTGATAAACAATTACTATTTTGCTAATAATTTTTGTGTTTGTGTTTCCAGATCTTAATATGGATAAAATAAAGCAGATATAATTCACCTCTAGAAAGATTATTTATACCCTGGCATTTGAAATGTTTTGTATTTAGTGTCATAGTAAAAATGGAAAAAGGGAAAGTAAATGATGATGGAAAACCAGACCCAGAAAATTCTTTGGACTTTTCTGAACACTTTAACCAACTTGAATTGTTGGAAACACATGGACACCTTATTCCCACTGGTACCCAAAGTCTCTGGGTAGGGAATTCTGACGAAGACGAGGAGCAAGATGAAAAAACTGAAGAGTGGTATCAATTGCAAGAAAAAAAGATGGAAAAAGATCCAAGCAAATTGCTTCTTTGGGCTGCGGAAAAAAATCGGGTAAAAAACAAACAAACAAAAACAGTTAAAGAGGAAACCATAATATAGTAGGAAAAGTACTGGATTCAGAGCCAGAAGACCTGTCCCTGAACCTCTATTTAGTTTGTAACTTTGGGTAAATCCTACCGTTCCTGAACCTCTATTTTCTTACCTATAAAAATGGCCATGATAATACCTGTATCTTTTATACAGGATTTGAGGATCGAATGAGGCAATGTCCATGAAGGGACATAGTAAGTCACAAAGCATCCTATTGGGTATTATTTGGAAATTTAAGGGATAATTATAAAGTTAGCAAGAAATCACCTATATTTTTAAATCATTTATATTAAGTCATTAAGATCATCCTAGAGACAGCTATCATTTAGAAGAGGGAGGATGGGAATTAACATGTTTTGAATATCAACTATACCATGTGCTTTACTACATTATTTGATTTAATCCTCATATATCCCCACAAGATAAGTAATATTCTTCCCTTTTACAGTTTAAGAAAATGGGATTCAGGAATATCAATTTGCCCAGTATCATGTAAGCAGTATCATCAAATATATTTTTCCCACTCAGCCACTTCTACTTCATTTTACTAAGTTCTTCCATGTCGGTGGTAGTAAATTAATAACTAAAAAGGTCCTGCATTTTTTGGATAACTTTTTCACCCAGGAGCACACTGCATCCCACCAGAGATCCAGAGACCAAACTGAAAATCACTTCCTGAGAACATGTTTCTAAGGTTGTTTTAGTTTGAAGGAGTTGAGCTCCTTAATCTCTAGATTTCCTTGTTACCATTGTATTCTTCTGATAAAGAAATTTATTTTTCAAAGTTTTATGCACTATGTATATTGGTGCGATAATCCTGTAGAAAAATCTGTTATTATGTTTTCACTAATGAAGTGTAAAATATTAAATATGATTATAGTCTGTATTATTCATCTAGGACTAAAGCTTATATGCAGTGGGCCTTAATTGGGCCAGGAATAAATGCACGATAGTCATACATTCGATACTGATACGTGATTTTCAGAGAGTCACATTCTTAGAAGAAAGAGTGTGGTTAACACTAACTTGTTCATTCTTAAATCTGTGGCCATCTGCCCCCCAAAGAGATCGTAAATCATTTTTATTTTAAAGTCCTCTGCTAACAAGTTTTTATGGAACTTAAAAAAAATTTAACACCACTAGACAGTTTAATTTTCTTCATTTACTGTTTTGGGTCACGTTGGGTTTTGAAAAGATCCCTTTTCTTCTCAGCTTACCACAGTGCGGAGACTGCTGTCTGAAAAGGCCACTCACGTGAACACTAGAGATGAAGATGAATATACCCCTCTTCATCGAGCAGCCTACAGCGGACACTTAGAGGTGGTGCGCGAGCTGATCGCACAAGGGGCAGATGTCCACGCGGTGACTGTGGATGGCTGGACACCCCTGCACAGTGCTTGTAAGTGGAATAATACCAGAGTAGCTTCGTTCTTACTCCAGCACGACGCAGATATTAACGCCCAAACAAAAGGCCTCTTGACCCCCTTACATCTCGCCGCAGGGAACAGGGACAGCAAAGATACCCTGGAGCTCCTCCTGATGAACCGCTACATCAAACCGGGTCTGAAAAACAACTTGGAAGAAACGGCCTTTGATATTGCCAGGAGGACAAGTATCTATCACTACCTCTTTGAAATTGTGGAAGGCTGCACAAATTCTTCACCTCAGCCATGACGGTTCTAATAATTTTCTTAAGTTTCCGAGTACCAGTGCCTCCTTTGTGTGAGATAGGACATATCCCCATGATAGAAGGTTGACATCAAAAGTTTTACGGTAGAACTCCAGTGGTACACATTCAAATGTCCTTCCAAGTGACATGCCTAACGTTGATGTCAAAATGTATTTGAAAGTTGTTTGGATGCATCTTTACTGATCTATGTGGACTTTGTAATTTTTATCAGAAATAATTTTAACACACTTATACTTAAAAACTTGTAACGGGTTGTACAGAAAACTAACGATATTTTTGGTGCTGATCCAAGAGAAGTGTATTTTTAAATATCCCCCATCCTGGGTCTTTGTGGAGTATTTAGTATATTGACATGTATTTTTATAAGGCGAGGTAACTCAGAATTCAATTTAAAAAACTCAAGTATACTGGTGCGGTGCATCCGTCATCTCCACGTCACTATGGCCATTTGCTTTCGTTTTAAACCGTAAGAACTGACTTCCTCGTGACTTGAGTTGTCAGAAGTTCAAGAAAACCTCGAAAGAGCTTAGATCTTTGTCTTTTAGAGCAAAGTAGTTAGCTAAAGTGTTTAGTCCGTGAATGTAATATACTGCCTCTGCTACCACAGTTCACACAATCCTGTGGACGGTCCTACCTCACCCTGGTCAACCCACGTGATCCTTCTTCCGTCGGTGAGTCGGCATGACCTTTTACACATGCACACAACTCTACCTTGGTCCAAGAGATCATAATGTATCTGCTCGCCAACTGGTTCTACCTGCCTAATCCTGTTTGTTCAGGGCACTGCTCAGATGGTCTCTCTAGTTCACAGGAAGTATCGATTTTTCCGAGGTCCTCCTTTTATACAAATCCTACAAAGGCAAAGAGACAAGGGAAAAGGAATTCTAAGAGTGAAGGGATGATGATTATACTGGGGCTAGATTATAAGTGGCGCAAGCTTTAAAAAGCCACAGTGTGGATGGTGACACGAGTATAAATATGAACATTCAGAAAAAAATAAAAGCTTGGAACAACAAAAATGGCACCAATTCTTGTTTTTCTTTTTTTTACCAGCACAGATCTTCCTTGGACCCATAACCTATGTATTCATGGAGCATACATTGATTGAGCAACTACTCTCTCAGTCTCTCCAGCAGGAGTTTCTCACTGACTACCTAGCCTCTCTGACTATTCCCAAAGGGATTTTTCTCTTAACTTCTTAACACCAGAACTGACATGCTATGGGAAGGAAACTAAACCAATGGGCCTCTTCTTCAGTTATATATTCACCAAGGCTTGTCTTTTTGAGCCAGCTCATATGATCCAATCACTCTGGATTAACTAATAATGTTATTTAATCAAATAGGTGGTTTTCGGGTTAAAAAAAACTGAATCATCTCAGAAAAGTTAATGTATGAACTGAGTTATCATGACAAGTAGGATTCAAGAATTAGGAGAGCTTTAATTATACTATGATCTCTGGCTAGGAGAGTCTCAGGTTCAGAGTATCAGTGTCTACAATGCAAGGGTTTGGCAGAATGTGTTGAGTCCAGGGTGCCTGGGTGGCTCAGTTGGTTAAGCATCTGACTTGATTTTGGCTCAGGTCATGATCTCAGGAAGGAGAGATGGAGCCCTGTGTCAGGCTCTGTGCTGGGCGTGGAGCCTGCTTAAGATTCTCTCTCCCTCTGCCCAACCTCCCCCCCCGCCGGCACCCCCTGCACATGCCCACATTCACACACTCTTTTTCTCTGTCTTAAAAAAAAAAAAAAAAAAAGTGGCCCAATTTAGGGATACCAAGTGACAGGTACAGCTGACAGGCAGTGACAATAGAATAGGACCCCATCTATCCTAGCAGACTGCTAAACTAGCTGCCTGCTTACCTGAAAGTCACAGAGTCCATGGCTCCTTTCTTTGGAATGAGTTGCATCCATGAGTTTATGTAAGCTTTCCACTTAAGTATGGGGCCAAAGAGGCCTCCTTATTTATGATAAGGAGCTGAGATGTGACTACTCCCTTGGTTTCAGGCCTCAACATTCAACCAGAGCTGAGGAGCAAACTCCACATATAAGCAAAATCTCTTCTATCTCTGAGGGCAGAATTTGTATTGTTTGCTTCCTTTGTACTTTCCTTAGTATTTACTAGTGTTTCCTATCCACAGAAGGCATTCATTAATCATGCTTTTGACTCTTTACTTACCTGTACCTTCCAGTTTGCTTTAAGAAGGCTTAAAAAAAAAAAAACAAAAAACTCAGTTTGCAAACAAAATTTTCTCTAATCTGGGAGAGTTTGTCCAAAGACTTTTTTTTTTTAATCTGTTTTTCATAACTCTGGGCTTAATTTTGATTAGCTTATATGCTTAAGGAAATGTGCTTTGTCATTGTTCAAGGAGCGTATCATGATTCACAGGCTCACAGTGAAATGAGTTGGCTTTGCTTTTCTAAATCTTAAATATGCTTCTCCAGGGAGCTTTCTGACCCACAGACTACCACAGTGATGGGATTTAGAGTCTTTATTCTATTGGGTGTAAAAGCATTCATTTATTTCTATTCATTGGTATCTATTAGGACAAAAATCCAAACACCTCCATTCCTGGAAACACTGTTTATGTCATTTTCAAAGGTCCCTTTCAGGCATCAGAGGTCTCCAACCAAAAGAAAAAGCCCAAGGAATAAGAAAAAAAAACAAAAGGATTTTAGTAAATAATTACAAGGACTGAGAGGAAATCAGTTTCTGAGAGAAAATGTGTTTCCTGTATCCAGGGCTGAGAAGCTGAGAGTGGCTTATTTTTTGTTCTGTATACAGCTCCTCAATGCCTATTACATGAGTTCCTCTTTAAATTCATACCGAATTTTTCCCCCTTTCAGGATGAGTCTTACCAATGTTGAGCAAATGGAATAAAAACACAAAAACACTCATATTTGGTTCATCACTGATTATCCAGTCAATGCTCAGATACATCTAATAGCCATCATTACGAATTTAATGACGTGGCCAGATTTGCCAGTGGATCTCAGAGGAGCAAGATTTGTAGGCTAGAAAATCCGCTTAATGAAATAAATACAAAATCTAAAAGCAAACTGCCACCTATTTTTTTTTCTTCTCTTCATCGCATATGCTCAGCCTTTCATCTCTATTAGATGTACAGTCTTTGAAAATTAGGCAAACTTCACTGGAGAGTTAATGCAAATTGGTAAGGAGCACTGTCTCCTGAGCAGTCACTGGAGTTCCGTTTTCAGACACAGATGACTTAAACAGAGGCAATTTTTAGGAATCAAAAAAAAAGGGGGGCACCTGGGTGTTTTAGTCGATTAAGTGTCCAGACATTGCCAGATGTTCCCTGCTAGTATGTAAGGCAGAAGTTTTCATAATTTGGCTAGCCTCAAAGTTGTTTAGCATGTAATTAAATTTTATTTGATGTACATTTTTTATATTCCAAATATTCATCAGTATACATTCAAAAATTAGATCATCACTGATTCTATTTTAAATTTTTAGTATTTTATTAATGAGATTCTTTGAACACATTCAAAAATTGGGATAAAACATACAATAAGAAAAAGAAAACTCTTCAATACTGAGTATCATTGGTAAAAACAGCCCACTTCCTACTCCCAACTTTGGCTTCTAGGAAACTTACTCCTTAGTTCAGATGAGTTTATTTTTAGGGAAATTCTAACTTCTGGGTATTAGTGGGTATAATAATCAAATCCTGATTTTTGATAGGTTGCACTATTACAACTGTAAATTTTTTATTGCATTGCTGGATAAAATGCTCTTAGGTTGATACACGGGCTTTTTACTTTTAGAAGGGATAAGAAAAGCCATTCTGTCAGAGAAGAATGAAATGAGGAAGGAGCTAGCAGCTTCCCAGTGTAAACAGCTGAGAAAATAGCAGATAATTTCTTAACGTCTTTACAGATCTAAAATTTTAGTTTGGTACTTAAATATAAAAATAATATCGTATAATTTTTTGGCAATTACTTTCACCTTAAAAATTAATTCCAAGATGAAATGTATCAAAATCAATGTAAAAAAATTTCACATCTGATCATCAGCCTTCCCCAGTCATTTTTTTTTTTAAAGATTTTATTTATTTGACACAGAGATAGTGAGAGCAGGAACACAAGCAGGGGGAGTGGGAGAGGGAGAAGCAGGCTTCCCGCCGAGCAGGGAGCCTGATGCGGGGCTCGATCCCAGGACCCTGGGA